CGAGTTTTTTTTTTCCTTTAATTTTGGTTTATAAGAAATCGTTTATTTTTATCTTTCTCTCTCTCTCTTTTTCCCTCCTTCTCTTCTATATTTTGCTTTTTTCTAAATTTTTTTTTCTCATTTTTTTTTCTCTCTTACTATCTTATTTGCTTTCTTTTTTTTCTCTCCCTCTCTCTTTCCCTTAATTTCTTCCGTTTTCTCTTTTTTTTCCCTTTCTCTCTCTCTCTCTTTTATCTTTTACTTTTTCCTAAATTATTTTATTATTATTATTTTTTCTTTCTCTCATCATCTCATTATCTTTCCTTTTTTTCTCGCTCTTTCTCTCTCTCTCTCTCTCATTTTCCGTCTGCTTTTTACTATATTATTATTTTTCATTTGTCTTTTTTCTCTTGTCTCTTTCTCAATTTCTTTTCTTTCTTTCTCTCGTCCCGTTTTTTCTCTCACTTTTTGATTTTCTCTTTCATGTTTTTATCATTCACTCTCTCTCTTTCTTTCTGCCCCTTTCTTCGAGACAATTAATTTTTAAAAATTATTCAAATGTAAAATAACCAAAAAAGTTTTTTGTTTAAAAAAATTATTATTATCATTATTATTACAGACCCCAGAAAAATACAAGAAATCGGAGTAAAGTAAATTTTTTTTTTTTTTTATAAAAGCGATGAAATTTTTTCATTTTTCATTTTTTTCCGTATCGTATTTTCTTTTCTTTCGTGGAATTAGACGATTTAAAAAGTCGTAAGAAAAAAAAGTATTTTTTTTTTTTTTCATAACAAAACGTGTTTTATACATATCATTTTCGTAAAAAAAAAAAAACCAAAGTTTTCCCATTTACTCTCTCTCTCTCTTTTTTGATCTCTCCCCATCATTTCACTTTTTCTTTTGTTAATAATAAAAAAAAAAAATTGAAATATTTTCCGTTTTTATTTAGTATTTAGATAAAATTTTATGTAAATCTCGAGATGACGTCATTTCTGTTTTTTTTTTAATTTGTATGAATTTAATATTATTATTATTATTATTAACAATAAAAAAATAAAAAATTTGTTTAAACGTTTTTCGCGACCCCCAACACTCACGTGACGTAAAATTTAAAAAAAAAAAATGGAATAAAACAAGAAAAAAAAAACTAAAACGATCGTCCTCGTCGTCGTCGTCGTCGTGAAAATAGGTGAGAGAGAAAGAGAGAGAGAGAGACAGAGATAGAAGAAAAAATCATCATCATCGCAACAGGGGGGGATTTTCGATGAATGAATTAACAAAAAACCTATTTCCACGACTCGTGCTGAGTTTGACGTTGTCAGGGATGCATAGAGAGAGAGAGAAAAAAAGGGGGAGGAGAGGAGATGAAGTCTGGAGAACGGGAAAAATGGGGAGTAACGTGAAAATTATAGGGTTTTAAAATAAATTCAATGCTATAACTTTTAAAAAACTTTTACGAACCTTTTTTTTTTGTTTTTGTTCTCCCCTTCCTCTCCCCCCAAGAAAACTCATTTGACGCCGTACCGCTTTCACCCTTGCTTTTGACCTCTCCCTCCCCCTCGTATTTTACTCTTGCCTCATCGCACTTCCCCCCTCAAAAAAAAAAAATTATAACTTTATCAAACTTTAAATTATGTGCATAAAATATTATTTTTCCAGTCGGGGAGACGAGAGAGAGAGAGAGAGAAAATGACGGGATAGCGAAAAGAACGAGAGAAAAAAGAAGAGGCAAAGAAACGGAAAACAAGAGAGAGAGAGAAAGAGAAAGATAGAAAAAACGAAAAAGCAGAGACAAAATGAAAGAGAGAGAGAGAGAGAGAGAGAGAGAGAGAGAGAATGGAGGGGGGTGGCGGTCATGATGAAAAATTGAATTTATAACGGAAAATTTTCCATTTTTTTTTCAAACGATAATAATAATAATAATAATACGAAAAAAAAACAATTTGAATCTTACCTGAAAGCCGGAATCGTTATTTAAAAAAAAAAAAAAAATTGGGAGGAAGGGGAGGAAAGGGTAAGGAGAGAAAGAAAATAATAATAAAATATCTTAATCCGACCCTGAAATTGTTGAAAAATAATTTTACATTTTTTTTTTTGTAAAAAAGAAAAAAAATTTAATTAATCGCATCACTGCCGAGTTAATAAATTACATTTTTTTTTTATTTTATTATTTGAATACATAAAAAAAAAAAAAAAAAAAACGTGGAAGAAGAAAACGGATAAGAAAAGCGTGGTGGTAATGGGGGAGGGAGGAGGCGAGGAGAGGAGAGTCGCGAGATGCAAAACACTCGAATAAAAAAATAAAATACAATTACAGGTTGAAAACTTTTGAAGAAAAAAAAAATCTTAAATTTACATTTTTCGCTTAGCGAAGATCATAAATGGATTTTTTTTTTTTTAAAATTTATTTTTAAGTCGATAGAATAGAAAAGAAAAAAAATGGCGACAATAGAAATTTTTTTTCTTCTGCTACTGGAAAATAAAAAACGTTAAAATTGCGTGTGTGTGTATGAATGTATACCTGATTCATTCGAACGAACCTTTTTTTTTTTTTTTTTTTACTTTTAAACATTTTCGATTTTCCAATCGTTTTCTATGATATTCTTTCTCTCTCTTCCTTTCTATCCCTCTCTTTCTCTCATTCTTTCTTTAAAAAAAGAAGCCGCCTTTTTTAAACTTGGAACCTTTTAAAATTCTTTTTCAGTTCTTTAACATTCCCCAGAGGCGAACTCGCTGATTTATTTTTAACTTTCCGAAGAATTTTTAAAAAAATAGGTTTTTTTCCTTTTTCCTCTTTTTCTTCTTTTTTCTACCCTTTTAATTTTCGACATCTTTCTTCCTTCTTCTTCTTCTTTTTCCTTTTATTTAAAATCACTCTAGGATAAAAAAAACGGCAGCAGCAACAACAAAAACAAAATTTACCCTCGTACCGACGAAAAAAAAGTTTTCGCCTCTATTAATAAATATTTAATTAATTAATTTTTTTTTTTTACGGTTGGTTGGTAACACTGTTTAAATTGTTTTTTTTCTCTTACGAAATTAATTAACGCCCCTTTCCCCTCCTCCTCCTTTTTTTCTTTTTTTAAATAAAATATTTTATTAATTTAAAAAAAAAAAATTGTGTTGCGTGTTGTGTTATTATTTTTGTTATTATTATTATTATTTCTTTAAAACCTTAAAAGAATGAGAGACAGAAAGAGGGAGAGAGAGAGAGAAGAGAGAGTGTGAAAGAAAAAAAAAGGGAGAGAAAGAAATAAATGAAAAGAAAATGAAAGAAAGGTTGAAAGAAACAAAAATTTGAGGGAAAAAAATTAGAAAGAAAAAAAAAGAGAAAGAGAGAGAACGATACATTCTAAGGGAAAAAGAGAAAAAGAGAGAGAGAGAAAACGATAGAGTCAAAGGTAATAAGTGAAAGAGAGGAAACAAAAAGAGTGTAAATAGGGGAAAATTGGAGTAGAAAAAATAAAAAAAAGAGAAATTAAAAAGGAAAATTGATAGAAAGAAAAGGGGATGAAAAAAAGAAAGAGAAAGAAAGAGAGGAAGCAGAGAGAGTCTGAAAGTGGAAAAAAAAGTAGCAAGACAAAAAAAAGAAAAAAAAGACACTCAAAAAAGTGAAAAATAAAAAGAAAAAGGAAAAATAAAAAAAAAAAAAGAAAAAGAAAAAATTACGTAACATTTATAAAGAAAAAAAAAAAAATAATAATAAAAGGAAAGATAAAAAAGGAAAGAAAATGAAAACTAATTGCTGATCCTTTTAAATGTGAAAAATGAGAATGGGTGGAAAGGAGGGAAACAAAAAAAAGAAAATTTTTTTGATTACCGGAAAGAGTTGCCATCAACTTGTCATAGTAATCAAATGAAGTGAATAAAAAAAAAAAAAGTGAAAAAGTAATTTTATCAAAGGAAAAAAAACTCAAAGGAAAAATTTTTTTTTAGAAAAAAAAAACCCTCCGGCGTATTTTTCCCCTCCTTCTCCTCCTCCGCCTCCTTTTTTTTCAATTCCGAAACTTTTTAACCGACCCTTTCCTCCCCTTTCGACTTTTCCCTTTTTTTTCCCGGTCCTCTCTCTCCCCCCCAAAAAAAAAAAACTTTTCACACGACAATTTTCACGATTTCTCTATCTCTCTCTTTTTTTCTCCCTCTCTGTTAACTCTCCATAAACTTTCTTTTTAGCAAAATCTTTTCCATTTTTCCTTTTATCCGATTTGGAAAAATCTAGAAAAAAAAAAAAATCACATCCGGTAAAAAAAAAATAACGAACACTTTTATACGCGTTCACGTACTCGATTTCCCCCCCCCCTCCTTACACTAAAATCTACATTTCAAAAATTTAAACGTTGCCAACATTACACACACACAAAAAAAAAAACTTTTAACATTTTCCTTTTTAACCTTTACCATTGAATTTTAAAAGGAAAAAATCATTAAATCGGGGTGTTCGAAAGAGTTTGACGTGAAAACGAGTTGAAAGCTTTATCACCCTAAATCCCGATTATTTTCCCACCCTCTCCCCCCCCAAAAAAAACAGTGCTACCAACAGCATTTCCTTTATTTAATCTTTAAAAAAACAATTTATTATTTTCGGTCATTTTTTTGGAAATTCGTCGCCATTTTGAAAAAAAAAAAATTAAATCGCGAGATTCAGGTGTTATTTTTTCTTTTCAACTTTTACTTCCGCCATTTTCATCTTTAACCTTTAACCTTTCTCTTACTTTTTACTCGTACCAACCCACCAAAAAAAAAAAAAAAAAAAACAAAAAATGATTGCGACTTTAAATAAAAGTAAAAATAAAAAAAAATAAAATAAAAAAATTTTCCACACACGATTCGTATTAAGAAGACGTCGACGTCGACGTCGTAGTCGCGAGCAGGGTAGGAGTAAGGATAGGAAAAGGTGTAAAAAAATAAAAAAAATAAAACATGTTTATGCTTTCAGGTTTTTTTGAATAATTTAATAGTAAAAATGGGTGTTAAACAAAAAATAAATGACTCGCAATGGAAAAAAAAAAGGAAAAAGTAACTCAATTTAAAAATGTTTTTTTTAGAAAAAGTTTTTGAGTGTGTTTTAAACTGAGCTTGAGATAAAGAGAAAAAAAATGAGGCAGAAAAAGAGAGAGAGAGAGAGAGATAAACGAAATGAGAAAAAAAAGTAAGGATTAACTTTAACCGAAGAGAAGAAAAGTAAAAAAAAAAAAAAAAAAAAAATTTAAATACAATTTAGAAAAAGCGAGGTATAAACCTTTGTCGTTTTTTTTTTCTTTTGTAATTACTCACACGGAAAAGGTTAGAAAAGGTTAAAAAAAGGTCATAAACTTACCTGTATATTGGAGTCATTTCATCTTTGTACCAAACGACTAATATAACCGAATCGCCTTTTACCGATGACGTTATATCGCAGGGTAAAAGCGCCGTTTGTTTTAAAACCGCGTGTACTTCTTTAACCAATGCTGAAAATAAAAAAAAATTCATTCAAATTAATCCCACGATTACTATTATTATTATTAAACGTCAATAACTTGCGTTGGGCGGAGAGAGGGAGGGGAGGGGGAAAAACGAAATGAAAAAATATTGGAGTAGTAAAGTAAAAGGAATAAAGATAAAAATGTTGTTTCTTAAAGGAAACCCAATTTTTCATAAAAAGAAAATGAAAATGGCATCGTTGAGTTTTCCAGTCTGAATATGTCAGCGGATATGTAAAAAAAAAGGGTAAAAAAAAGGGTAAAAAAAAAAGAAAGGAAAAGAAAAAAAAGGAAAATTTTCGAATTGTAAAATCTGACAGAAAGAGCAGAAAATGAAAAACGGAGAAACTGTGTGTAAAAATAAAATTTTTTTTCCCACCGTACAATATACATAATAATAATGGTGATTTTTTTTTGCGATATGAAAAACAACGACGTTGAAATTATCAACTATTTCCGGTTTTTTTTTTTTTTTTTAAATTTTTCTTACCAGTCGCGATGTAAAAACAACAACAACGAGCAAATTGCAACGCATTTATGTAACGCAAAATGTATTTTTTAAAATTTTAAGGAAAGAGAAGGGGAAAAAAATCACAATTTTTTAATAATAATAATAATAATAAATTCTTCTTTTACACTCAGCCAGACGAAATAATAATAATAATAATAATAATAATAAACCGTTGAAATCATAAGACGTGCATGTTTGGAAAAAGAAAAAAAAGGAAAATGAAAAATGAATAAGAAATTCTTCAAATTGCATTTCCCGAAAAAGTTCTAGAAAATTTCCATCGTAAATATCCGGACGAATCGCATAAACAAAACGAAAACAGAAATTATTATCATCATCATCATCACCATTATTATTATTATGATTTACGTTCGGGTCGATAAATCAAAGACTTTAAAAAAGAATATTTAAATTTGAACTCAAAGAACATAATAATAATAATAATAATAATAATAATAATAATAATAATAATAATAATCGAGAAATCGTTTGAGAATGTTAAAACATAAAATAATGTTTGTTGCGACAACCAACCGCTCGTGGTGTGTTTAAATAAAATTTAATATTCCATACGACGTCTCGTTAAAAAAATATAAACGATAATAATAATAATAATAATAATAATAATAATAATAATAATAATAATAATAATAATAATAATAATAATAATAATACGAATATGACGTTGATAATAATAATAAGTAAACTTTTAATCCTCCCCGCCGCCGCACGTAACGAACACGATTTTTAAAATCCATTTTTCCACCTTCCCCTTCATTATTATTATTATTTTTATTATGAATAAAATCAATAGAGAATTAATAATTTTTTATTTTAATAAGTTTTGTATTATTATTATTAATTGATTTGTTTAAATAAATAAATAAATTCTATAACGTTATTAAACTCATTAACAATTATTTTAATAATAAAAAAAAAATATTTATTAATAAAAAAGGAAGGTTTTTAATAAGAATAATTTTAAAAAAAAGGAAAATAATAATAATAATAATAATAATAATAATAATAATAATAAAATCTTGCTTTTTTATTTTTATTTATTGATTTATCGATTTTTATTTATTTATTTATTTTTTCCAATTTATTTTTAATTTTTAATTTTTTTTTTTTTCAACCGCGATAAATAATTTTTTTCCTTCTTTCCCTTCCCCTCTTCCCTCTTTTTTCCCTCTCTCCCGCTTCTTATCTTAAATAGATTTTCGATATTTAATAAAATAAAATAATAATGATGATGATGAAAAATTCGTAGTAGTAGTTGTAGTTGTAGTAGTTTGAAGTGTAAGAAAAATAATTAAATAAAACGCGCGTCACGCTCTCGCGTACACGAATAAAATAAAAAATTTATTTTTATTTATTTATTTTGATTGTTGTGTGCGGAATGTGTCTGAATAAAATTAAAAAAATTCAAACTACAAAACGAGAAAACTACAAAACTACAAATCGAAATTACATTTTTGTTGTTGTTGTATTTAATCGAGGATTTTTAAAAGGCGTAACCGAGTAATAACAAATTTATTACTTTAAAAAAATAAAAAATTACGATTTGATACGTGAATGAAAGAAGAAAAAAAAGGGCAAAAAGGGAAACAGAGTGCGTGAGGGGGAGGAAAGCGAATACGTAGAAAAAACGTGTTTTCTCAGGTTGTCAAAAAAATGAGAGAGAAAGAGAGAGAGAGAAAGAAAATGGTAGAGTGGAAAAATAAAACAGAGATAGAGAGAGAAATAGAGAGAAAGAGAAGGACACAGAAATGAGAAGTGAGAGAGAAACAGAGAGAAAGAAAAGAGAAGAAAAGGGAACAGAGACAGAGAGAGAGAGAGAGACAAAGGGGAAAGAAGAGGAAAAAAGAGAAACAAAGAGATAGAAAATGACACAGAAACAGACAGAAAGAGAGAAGCAAAAAAACACAGAGACAGAGAGAAAAGAGAAGGCAAGGGTTAAAAGAGAAACAGTGACAAAGAGAGAGGGGTGGAGGAGGGAATAAGAGAATGTTAATTTGTACAAGTATTCAGCCGTGGGGCAACATTAAACGCACGAACTGAATTGCCAAGGAGGAATCGGGGGATAATTCCTCAGACATTAATAAACTCGTAACCCGAAGGGGGTTTGAATTTTACTTAATCCTACAGGAAAGAAAATTTTTTTTTTTTTTTTTTTACTTCATCGTCACGCGGGAAAATTTAACGTAAAATTTTCAAAATTATAAACAGGGAAAAATCCTTCGATCCTTCGTGTTTAAAATAAATAAATAATATATTTATATATATATATATATTTAATCTTTTTAACCTTTTCATCCTTTTTTCACGTGAAAAAAAAAAAAAAAAAAACTCATGAAAAAAAAAGAGAGAGAGATAATGAGAGAGAGAGAGATAGTTTAATGAGTTTAAAAGCAGAAGATGGATTTTAATAAAGTAAATAATTATGGAAAACTATGAAAAGTTTTTACTTTATTCAAACTTATATCATTTTACGCGTTGTCGTCGAAGTTGTTGTTGTTGTTGTTGTTTGTCGTAGTCATTAAATTTTTATCACCCATACGACTAATTATTTAATCGAATCCTCCGCCATTTTCTTTTTTCAACTATTTGTTGCTCGATCAATCGAGCAACAAAAAAAAAACCGACAAATCACGTGGCAGTAATTTGAAATTCATAATATACAAAAGTCTTTTTTGCACCGGAAATAATGATTACTCGATCGGAAGTTGTATAAAATTTATTAACCGAAAATAATAATAATAATTATAATAATAATAAAATTCTTCGGAAAATAATGATAATGATAATAATAATAATAATAATAATAATAATAATAATAATAATAATAATAATAATAATATAAATTTTTTTTTTTTGAAAATAACGATTCCCGGTGATGATTTCGCATTATCAATAACTGCATTAAATTATTGAAAAACAATCGAAATCGTAGAATGATAATAATGATGATGATGATGATGGAGGTATTGTTGTTATTGTTATTATTATTATTATCGAGCCTTTTCCTTTTTGAGTATGATAAGATTAGAGTACTTAAAACTTTGGCTTTTGTAATTCGTTTCAGAAATTTTCATTTCGAATTTTTCTTTTTTTACTGTTGGAAAATAGCGCGGGCGTGGGAGCAGACAAACGATCGTTTTCTTCTTCTTCTTCATCTTCTGCTTTTAATTTTAAAATTTCCTTTTTTTTACGAATGATGACCCTTTTTATAATTTGGTAAAAGTTCTCTTCAGCAACAGAAATGATTCGAAATAAAAAAATTTTTTTATTTTCCAGATTTAAATTTTTGCTGTTGCTTGATTGCTGTCGGTAAACATTTTTATTTATACTTTCCTCCTCGTTTGTTTGTTTGTTTGCTTGTTTGTTTTGACATTTTAATAATTTTTCCTTCTTTTCCTTCTTCTTCTTCTTCTTATATCTTTTTAAATCTCCCTAATAAAAAGTTTAATTTTGATACCGACGAGGGTTATTTTATAAAAATAAATTTTTAACGTGTCAATAACAAGCGTATAAGTTGTTTTAGTTTTTCCCCATTCGACTGGACTCTCGAATGACTCACAATAATAATAATAATAATGATGATGATGATGATGATTATAATAATAATATTCGGGGTTTCAAATATTATTTTTAAATGAAGCGAAACGAAAGAAAGTAAATAAAATAATGATGATGGTAGTGATTTTTTTTTTTTTAACAAAATGAATTAGTGGAAAAACGAGGGGGTGGGTAGATTAGGGGATGGTTGAAGACGGAGGGTTGAATATTTTTTTAACTTTTTTTTTTTTTTGAAAAAAAAAGTAAGTATTAAAGTCATTTGACGGAACGTTAGACAATAGAACGAAAAATGAAAGAAAAGGAAAAGGGATCCCGTTTAATGCCCGGGATTACCTACTCAGGAGCCATGATTGATGCTTTTCTCTCTCTTTATTCTATTCAACTGATTTTGATTACAAAATAAAAAGTGGGGAGAGGGGGAGAGAGAGAAAGAAAAAAAAAAAACTTTTCATTTTATCAATTTTTCTCATAATAAATCATAAAGAAAAAGGTTTGAGTGGCATTTTTTTTTTATTTTAATTTTTCATTTTCCTTTGATTTTTATGCGATGGTGAGCAAAAAATCGGAAGGACTTCTTACTTCCCCCTCTTTGCCCCCCATTCCTTTTCCTTCCGAAAAGAAAAAAATAAGTGAGTAAAATTATCCATTTGAAAAAAGGTTTATAAAAAAAAGAGAAAAAAAAGGAAAAAAAACTCTTAAAAATAAAATTAATATCTCTCTTTCTCGTCAAAGGAAAAGATAAAAAGGAAAAAATATATAGGAAATAAAACACACACATAAAAAAGGAAAAAAGGGAGGGAGAGAGGGGAAGGAAAAGAAGAAAAAAAAAATTGAAAAATGATTTTGTTATTATTCATTGAAAACTGACATACTGGAGGGAAAAAAAAAAGAGTCAAATTTCAAATTTTCTCCGAAGATAAATTGACCCATCGAAATAAATCTCTCTCTCTCTCTCTCTTTTTTTTTTTTATCAGTGTGTCGAATTTCAATTTAAATTGCCTGATTTATTTTGATTGGAATGAAGAGAGAGAGAAAGAGAGAGAGAGAGTGTATGTGTGTGTGGAAAAAATTTTTTTTTTTAATCCCGCGGTTTTTTTTTTTTTAAACA